TTTACCCGTTTTGGACTTTGGCCACATATGTTTGCCTTCTTTTACAATTTTAGTCCTTATTCCCATTTGTTTTACACCTTTATCAAATTTTGGACATCAATAGCTAGATCGGTGTCATGGACACGTGCATAATTTCACTATCTCTACGTTCCAATAATTTTTTTTCCAGCTATGTAACACTTGACACTCTTCTTCAACACCACCAGTTCAAACCTAATCGATTTCCCTTCTTCATCTTTTTTCTCCACTCATCCATGGTAGATGAAATATTAGGTTTCCACCACCGTTAATGGTTTCGAATTTTGGAACTCAACTGACGTAACAGGAACATTTCAACGTTAAAGAAAGAAGATACATCCGCTAACCCTATCGTTCTTCACTGTCTTTAAGGTTGTTCGGTTGCTAACCCACCATAAGTAACTTTCGCTAACCATTCTGGATTCCCAATCTTTTTTGACTTGATTAGGGGTCATTTACCACCATGGAGAAGAAGACGACGATCCACCGTTACCACATCCAAAGCTTGATAACTCAATCTTCATTGCCCTAAACCCCAATAACGATTTAAAGGCCAGATCGTAAGGTTTTGGTGTTGTTGGTGTGAATCCCTCTTTAGAATCAGTTCTTAGTCCTTCGATTATTGAAGAAGACGAGACCGACGTCGGCTCTCCTCACTCCTTACAAAAATATCTTGATGGTAGTTTAGGTACCATACCTCTATCTCTATCTACATCTTACTGCTTATCAGACATGCCAATATGAGATCCCGATCTTGGCAAGACTCCATTCTGATGTCACCGACGTTAGTCAATTTGTGCCCTAATTAAATATAAACATACCCCATCTTTAACAGGCTAAGTTTTCAACTTCTGAATTGATACACCTTCGATTACATTTTTTGACTGAAAATTAGTGAAAGAAAAGAAGAATTGATTATATTATAATAGAGAGTGTTTTGAGTGGGTATGGTGAAAACAATACATTCAACATTTGTTTGTACCAAGGCTAAAGGGGTGAAATGGTAATTTTAGTGTTTCTAGCGGATATAATCAAGTAAAATAGCTATTTATGAAAAGAATACTGTTTTTTTTTTTTAAGAAAATAAAAAATAAAGGTCCGGTTATATGTGGTTTCTATTGATTTCTTTATTTCTAAAAACTTTTGTTTCTATTATCCACATCTATATTTACCCATTAAAACTCAAGACAAAATTCTCAAAAGCTTAACTGATTGAGCAAAAATTTGAAAATAAAGGGTTAGCCACAAATCAAATTTCACTACAAATCATATTACTTATTGTACAACTATTCATGAGATTCTCAACAATGGTTAGATCTACCAGTATTTAATGCTTCTGTTTTTGAAAGTGTAAATAACTTAGGACCGACTCAACAGATTTATGGTAAGATGTTATAAAGTACAAACATTCACATGTTATCTTACGATTTGAATATGGAAATTATGTAACGTCTGTGCTTTTGGCTAAGTATTATTATGATGATGTAATAGTTAGGATCAACAATTGTTATCTATTTGACGTAATAAAGAAAAATTATGTGAATATTATGTGTTTCATGATTATTATAATATAATAAAATATGAAAAATCAGCCGAATCATCTGTAAATCATAAAAATAAGTGCGCCAAAACACACACACACACACACACACACACATATATATATATATATATATATATATATATATATATATATATATAGAAAGTACACGTCGTCCTGATCCCGAAAATATAAATTTCGTCGAAATCCGAATCCGCATGAATTAGATATGATTTTTATAAGATATAAAAGTTAGCCGTGCACAAAGAATGTGTGACATAAAAAGCTACGAAGATGATGGTTGACTTTTAGCTAATGCCACCAAAACGAAAATCCTAGTACTCCTTAAAATATGAATTTTGAGAAAAAGAATGCCAAAAATGGATTCTGTATAAGAGAGTTATGATTTTAGCAAAATCATTTAATTTTATAAAAATATAGAAAAAATAAAAATAAAGTCAAGATTAGCCGACGGAGTCTAAACGAAAGTTGTAGAGCTCGTTGATAGCTACGTGTCGATATAAAGAGCATCAAAAAACAGAGTTCGTATTAACGAGTTATCAATTATAATAGCATATTTTCGTATTAAAATAAAGTGTGTGTGTTTGTGTGTGTGTGTGTGTGTATATATATATATATATATATATATGTATGTATGTATGTATGTATGCATGTATCATTAGAAATGTATCTACGATGCAGTTGTTATAAAACTAGTGTTGAGTACTTTCTGTGATATCTCCAATTTCACGGCCAGAAAAGATCGATTTTTTTATGTTTCGTTTTATATAATCAGAGTAATTCTTTGATTAAAAGAGTTGTGGAATTTGTTCCCAAAACAAAATATGATAAGAATTTATCAAAACATTTCTTTAAACAAATGTATTTTCATTAAATAACAAAATCTCGGGATATCATGTTCCGATACAGACCAAAAGCATAAACAATATAAAATAGACCTTACAACAGTTATTTATAACTACTGATCTATAATCCAAAATCTCTCGTCAAGTCCACCAACTTATACTCTTGTACTATTACCTGTAATGCAAAGAAAACTGAGTGGGTCAGGCTTGGAGGCCTGGTTAGCATATAGGGTTTTCAACCCACAATTATCTATTTATTATATTCAATCATCAAACTATCAACCCAATTACCCATCCCCATTATCTTCTTTATTTCTTAAGGTTTTACCCTAAGAATCGACTATCCTTCCTTCATTCATTCCTAAGGATCTACCTAAGGAATTGGCACGAAGTCCATTGCTGCCAAAGTTTATCTATTAGGTACTAAATCTATAGCTATCAGGCGCTAACTCCATAGTCACCAAGGTTCACTTAATAGGCGATAACTCCATAGTCACCAAGGTTCACTTTAACAGACGCTAACTCCATAGTCACCAAGGTTAACTTAACAGGCGCTAACTCCATAGTCACCAAGGTTCACTTAACAGGCGCTAACTCCATAGTCACCAACGTTCACTTAACAAGCGCTAATTCCATAGTCACCAAGGTTCACTTTAACAGGCACGAAGTCACATCGTCGCCAGGTTTTATCTAATAGGCACTATGTCTCATAGTCACCATGGTTTACTCATACCATCACTCATCACACACCAACTATTCTATCTATCCATGTTCTACCCAACATATTTGTAGATATAAATTACATATATATTTAAATCATATACAAACCTGTATAAAACATTCATCCAACATCCATCTAAAATAAACAAACAATATTTAAACACATAACACGTATTTCATAGCAAATACTTCATATCTATGTGTTAGAAGAAAGTAACTACACACTCACTTGATTAGATGATGATCGGACAGCACTACGGCTTGTAAAAGTAGTATTCTTCGGTAGATCTGGAAGATGTTCACACACCGGGCTTCTCGCAGGCAGAGCTTCGGCTCCGAAACTCTTTTCTTCTAGGGATATTCGGGCTTCGGGTCTCAGGATGATCCCAGGGCTTTGGGGGTGGGGGGGGGGGAGGGGGGGTGTTAAAATAGGGCTTAGAGAGAGTATCGAGAATAGGAGAGAAGAGATTGAGCAACCAAACTCGGATGCCTCTTGAATTCTATTTATAAGGCCATTTTTCTGGATTCACATCGTAAATCTCAAATATTCACGTCGTGGGTTCAACATTCATCAGGTGCATCATCGCAACTGATGGGTTTTATGCATAAGAACAATCATATGTGCTCATACAAACCCTAATGCTTGGATATAGGTTTCTCTATTGTACATGCAATGAATCCAAGACTTAAAACCCTAGATCTAACATGTATAATTTAAAATTATCATTATAAGAAAAGATCTAAGTGTTTACCTCTTTCAAATTGCTTAGAATCCTTTAAATCTTCTTGATCTTGAGCTTAGAGTCACAATTGTAACTCCTCTAATGGTTCACAAACCCCACAAGCAAGAAGGCTATTAAGAGAGAGGAGGAAGAACAGTAAAAATTGGCCCTAGGGATTCTTTTGAAGTCAAGCATCCGAAAATTGCATCCAAGGGTCTCTATTTATAGTGTAAGCTGCTAAGGTTTCAGTCTAAACCCTAATGGACAGCTTAGTCACCAAGCAGCCCATAGAACCTTCTAGATTAGGGCCTTTGGACGAAAATATGATGGATCCTCATCATAATTTCGTTCCCCCTTAGTCTATTAGGTTTTTCCAGCCCAAAACTCAACTATCATACATTTGACGGTTTATTCCCTTTATTTAATTAATCTATTTTAGTCACCAAATTAATTCCTAATTAATTTATGACCAATACTAATTAAATAAACATGATTTCTATTTTAATATATTATACTTATAATATATTAATAAACCATAATATCCTCTCACTTTCTTAAATAACCTTGTCAAGTTGCTTTGGTGAAGGCAACCCAAAAGGATCATGCATAACCAGGTCAAGTACATACCAAATATAGTTACGGACTTAGAAACTAATCCAACAGCAACTTGCGTCTGTCAGACTCCAGAAGTCATAAATACTGAGTTCACGTCGTGAACACTGTATTCACGTCGTGAACTCTGACAGTTTTGGGGTTCCGCGCCCCAAACTTCAGAAATTCATAACTTTCGCATACAAACTACGTTTTTGCCGTTCTTTATATCGACGGTAGGTAAAAACAAGATCTACAACTTTCATTTAGACTTCGTCGGCTAATTTTGAATTTATTTTTATTATATTATTTATATATTATTTTTAGTAGGCTGGGACAGGATAACTCCATTATAAACTCGTAACTTCTTCATCTGTCGTCTG